ATTGACAGTGTGTACTGGAGCATTGTTGTGCTGAAGGAGTTCACGTTCATGTTCGATTAACCAATGTCAGGTAGCACACTTTCAAAGCATCATATACTCACTGCTGTCATAAAGATCAGCATTTACAGCATGGTCATCTGGGACAAGCTCAAAGTACAACAACGCCTCAAAATTCCACCAAACAAACATGACCTTCTACTCAAACTGCCCTTGTTTGATAACAGGTTCTGAAGCCTGGCCAGCATTAAGTCACTGATTTCTCTTATTAGGATTTTGAAAATAGGCCCATTTTAATCCCCAGTTAGAATTCAATGCCAAAATTTATCTGCAAATGTTCATTAAGACCAGCCATTGGTCAGATCACAAGGAACTTCTTAACAGAGTCTGTTCAGGAGGCCGAGTTTATGAAGGTATCAACTGAGGGTGCTTTGTGAAGGACCAAGTTCTGGCCAAAATGTATGAGTCCTTGTATTTGGCTGTTCAACCATTCCAAGCGAGGCCTCATCTTCCACAACTGAAGTTCTCTTTGACTTTGGTTTGTCTTCAAAGCTGGTGTCACTTTTCTTGAAACATCTGAACCAGTTTTGTGTCACATGTCCGTTGACAGTCCCTGGGCCTTCCACATCATTAATGCCACTGACCTTGCACTTAGACCTTTTTTCTCCCAAGTAGTATAAAATGGCTCTAATTTTTTCACCATCCATCATGAAAGCTATAAAATGAAGAATAAACAATTAATGTTTATATGTTATATATGCAAAGAAAGAATAAACAATTCAGAAACAATTGGACAAGTTGTATCAAATTAATATAGAGATACATTATCAGTGAAAATCAGAAAATACCTTTGACTCAACCTGGTATATTCATTTGAGCCAATCATGCTCATTCTATTGGATTTAATAAGGAAGATTAACTAAAAAAATAAAAAAAAAATCAATCTTTGTCTTTTGTTTCTAATGAAACATGTATCAATAAAAGGAACTGGATAAATGAACATTACATGTGCACTATATTAGATATGATTAGGAAAGTTAATGTTTTTTATATTAACATTATTTTTAACCAAACATAGTGGAACAGATACTTTTTGGAACACAATCCCAGAAGGCTGTTTTCCTGCCCTATACAATCTTAACCTCTTGAAGTCTAATGTTAACTGTTATCTTTTCCACATTTTTGCATAAACTGCACTCCTTACTCTTACCACAACAACCACCTTCACTAAACCTCTACCTTGAATGGCCCTTGGGCCTTGTATAGAGTGAACTTTAATAACAAAAAAATCAGGATATATTTTTAAGAATAATACTTCATATGAATTTCAGCTTATAATATCTATTCTTATTAAAAATTGTGATAATAACTTTTGGGTGGTTGGATCAGGTTTTATAAGCAAACTGAATAGAAATCTTTAAAATTTAACATGTTTTGGTTTTAAGCTTCGTCAGAAGTTTTTGAAATGAATTAAGGAAGAATGAAACTTAAATAAAAGCGAAATGTTAAATTTATAAATATTTTCTATTTGTTTCTTATCCTATCATTCTGTTGGATGCTAAACCATATTTGATCTCAGTTTAAATCTTTATTTATAAATAGTCATAATATATAAGCAATAGAAATATATATATACTTAATTAACACAATATCCTATATACTTGAAAAAAATTATCATTTTTTAATTATACACTAGCAGTAGAGCCCGGCGTTGCCTGGGGATGTAAAAGTAAAAGATAGATTAAGTATCGACCATCATAAAGACTGACAAAAATTGACAAAGATTATCATAAAGACTGATAAATTGACAAAGATTATTGTTTAAGGTTGACGGACACGCATGTCTTAATTAGTTTTTTTTTTGTTTTTTGTTGTTTTTTTTTACGAATTGGTCAAACTCAAACAAAAACATTGTTTTCAATCGTTATGAGTCTACTGATTGAATAGAATTTTATTATAAAGAATTGTCTTGTAAATGGAATTTTTAAAGCATTCTGAATGTAAAAATAAAGAAAAAAGTGTGCAAGACAATAAGAAACACTACCTGTCAAAAAAAGTGAAGTTTTGTTGAAATTGGTTAAAAAATGTAGGAAATCCGATCCTATATATAAATGAACACACACAGACACACAAACAACCTGGGTTTTATAATAAGTATAACTCGATATGAGTTGTCCCCCTTTCATTCTGGCGACAGTGATGCATCTTAATCATGTCTTCAAATTGATTTTGTGCAAAAACAATTGTGTTTTTCCAATTTTTGGCACTGTCAGAACCACCGCAAGGTAATTTTACGTAGTCCTGTGAAGTTTTGTTGAAATCGGTTGAAAAATGTAGGAAATCCGATCCAATATACACACACACAACCTGGGTTTTATAATAAGTATGATGCTAATAAGTATTCTACAAGATTTCAGCCATTGATTTTGCTCACTTTTCTAATTTTCAACTTTAATATTACTTGCAGTTGTCGTTGTTGTTTCCCAGATGTTTTCTTTGCTTGAATATTGTTTTCCATTCTCATATAAATCTTTTCTTATAATGAATTAGAATTTTATAATAAAATCTCAAATCACCAAATAAGTTATCTTAATGTCTAACAATAAAATAATATTATATATTTATTTACAATCTGATGAAAAGTACTCCAGTTGCACATTAAAATCTTACACAACCAAATAAGTTTTTGCAAATATTTCTAATAAAACCAGATACAGACAAATGATGGCAATTCTTCAACAGCTGCAGCAGCTGTAACAAAATAGAAAAACTTCAGTAGGTGCATTCAAGCATGACAAACAGCAGCAGCACTTGTCAGCAGGCAGGCTAGGTTTATGGTTCCAGGTTTTCCACTGGGAATTGTCCTAAGGAAGAATGGCTTAAGTTTCAGTTCATGAATTTAGTGATATAGTAATTGTGAGTTCAATCCCTGCACTCGGCAGTGAGTACTTGGATTCAGTGGAAACAGGGTGAGCAATAATTGAACAGTTCCAAAAATAAGAACCAGATGAGTATCCCTAGATATGGGCAGTGAAAAAAGAACAGCTTACCCTAGTAGATTAAATAAAGGGTTCAATTCAGAATTTCCTGTAAGTTATCCGGATTGATATATACCTGTTTAAGGTCAAAGGGCACAATGGAAGAAACGTAATAACAACAACAATAGTCTGAATGTAAATAATAACTCTTCATCTCGGAAATTCAGACAGACGGTGATCAGGTGATAATAACAACAAAGATGAGGACATTAGTCAGAATGTAAATCGTGTAAATAATGATAGTTCCTCATCCCTGAAATTCAATCAGAAGGCAATCAGGTAATGATAACAACAAAGATGAAGATATTAGTCAGAATTTAAATAGCGACTACTCCTCATCTTAGAAATTTAGACAGAAGGCGATCAGGTGATAATAGCAACAAAGATGAGGATATTAGTCAGAATGTAAATAATGATAACTCCACATCCCAGAAATTTAGGCAGAAAACCAGATAAGTTGAAAATTATAGTATATGATTATTATTATTATTATTACCTAAATAAATACAAATATATCCTGACCGTTTTTACTATCATCATTTGCTCAATACCAGTTTGACTGTGAAGCTATTGATTTCTATACTAAAATCTGATTTAGTCATCGGTGTGAAAATGAGAAAATATATTTTACATATTTGACCTTTTCACTGCATAATTAAATTTCATAGCCATTCCCGTAATGATGATAAAAATATATAATGGTAAGTAAAAAATTATCTGCACTTTCATCATAATATGTCTTTAGCTTTATCACACTGCCTTCTACATATATATATTTGATGTTATTGTGGTGATGTGATTGGAGTTTCAGCTTTATTGCACAAGTTTTCTTGATGTAGTTACAGTGTAAACATGGCCACTCCACAAGCAGTGGTCCATGGAAAGTGCTCAGATAAACTACATGCCTTCGTTCTGCCAGACCTTAGCCTTCATGGCAAGACTTACATTGTTACAAACCAGCCACATTCCCTTCATATTCCATTGGTGAGAAGTTTCACTCAAACAGCTTCTTCCTGCGAACAACTGCTCTGTGGAACAGTCTCCCAAGAGGATGTTTCCCAAATCACTACAATCTTGGCCTGTTCAAGTCTAGGGTTAACTGTTATCTTCCTATCCAAGCTGTATGAACTGCCTCTTAATGTAACTGTGAGTGGCTGCCAGACATTGTACAGCATGAACCACATTTAAAAAAAAAAACTCACAGTAATTCTGTTTTTATAGTTGTAGTGATATGTAAATGACTGCTTAATTAGCAGAGCTAAGGTATAGAGACTATAAAGAGGCATAAAGACTATAAAAAGGCATAGAGACTATAAAATGGTACAGAGACTATAAAAAGGCATAGACTATAAAATGGCATAAAGACTATAAAAAGGTATAGAGAATATAAAATGGCATAGAGACTATAAAAAGGTATAGAGAATATAAAATGGCATAGAGACTATAAAAAGGCATAGACTATTAAAAGGCATAGAGACTATAAAAAGGCATAGTGACTATAAAATGGCATAGAGACTATAAAAAGGTACAGAAACTATAAAAAGGCATAGACTATAAAATGGCATAGAGACTATAAAAAGGTATAGAGAATATAAAATGGCATAGAGACTATAAAAAGGTATAGAGAATATAAAATGTCATAGAGACTATAAAATGGCATAGAGACTACAAAAATACTTAAAAACTATAAAAGTGCCCAAGCAGTAAGGGGAGGGTCAATATATTATACACGAAATTATTGACTAACACTGGACTGAGATATTATGAAGGAAATCATATTTCATAAAAATAGTTTATCTCATTCATGACAGCCAAACAGGTTAAAAAAAAAATGTTCAAAATTTTGAAATCAAGTATTTTCTGTTTTTTCTCAATATTTTGCAGCTAAAATGATTTTTGTTTGTGTTAAAAGCTTTTTTCGTTGTAATTCAAATAAATATTTGCCATTGTTTTATTTCTCAACAGCTGGTTACTCCAAAATTTCCTGTTGTGGTAAAAATTGGTCATGCTCATTCCGGGATGGGAAAGGTAAGTTGAAATGGCTAATGTCCTTGGATTTTTTTTATCCACTTTGGATAAGGTCAAAAGTCAGGAATAAATTTATCAGAAAGAAGAGTTGGATCTTTTCTGTTAATTCACCCCAAAATAAAAAGAATTTATATTTACTAAAATTCATATCAAATTCTCCCTTCCATTGCATTCTGGTTGGGTTGACCTTTATGATTGCCCCAAATGTGTGCAACTTGGGAGCACTATTTCTAAGTGTGGGGTCTACTCCCTGATTTTTGGTAATTTTTCATTCTGAGGGTTGGAGTTGTTGTTTGGCAAGCTAAACAAATTTTGTTTTAAAATTTATAATTTCTCGGGGTGAATTAATATTTGTAATAAGTAATTTTACATTATTTGGGGTAAATTAAATAAAAAGATCCAAAAAGTTTTCAATTCATTATTTAATTTAAATTGTTGAATAAGAAAAAAATCCAAACTTCAAAACTATCCCCAGAGGGAATAAGTTTAAAAATCCACGAGCAGAAAACCGCTTCATTTTGTGATTTCATTGCAGCATTATAATTGATGACAACTTTGTTACATATTACAAGATTTTTTTTTTGAAATACGTGTTTGGTCTATAGAATGAGCCCTTACATTTCATGAACACTTACCCCTTAATAAATGGCTTACTAGTATTGCTGACAAAACTTACCTGGTTGTTTGTCTCAATCGGTTGTGGACTGGGCAGGAATTGGCTGGTTAACTTTAATGCCTCAAAAACAAAATTGCTATTACTCACCACAGAGAACCATCCCTGCACCCCATTAGAATGTCTGACGTTCAACTCCATGAGAGCACCTCTTTGCAACTACTCGGTCTCACATTGACTGCTGACCTGAGATGGAACAAATACATTGAGTCAATAGCTTCGTCCACCACTAAGAAAGTTGTCTCCCTGTGCCACGCCAGGAAATTTTTTTCGCCTGAGTCGATCCTTCAAATCTACAAATCAACCATTCACCCTTGCATGGAGTATTGCTGCCATATATGGTCTGGAGCCCCTTCTGTTTGTCTCAAGGTTCTTAATAAAATCCAGAGACGGATATGCAATGTAATTAGCCCTGATCTGGCATCTCCTCTGCAGTCGCTCTCTCACAGACATGCTGTCACCTCCCTGTGTCTTTTTTACAAATACTTTCATGGTAACTGCTCCGAAGAGCTGCTTTCGCTGATCCCCAGACTTCATGAATTTAAGCGTTCACCTAGGCTTGCATCTCGCTCTCACCCTTTCACTGTTGAAACTGTTAAATATAACCGTCTCTTCTACTCCAATAGCTTCATGTCTCACACTTCTCACCTGTGGAACTCCCTCTCCTTTTCCTGTTCCCCTGATAGCTATAATGTCCAACTATTCAAATGTAATGTCAATCGACATCTCCAGATGCCTTGATCTATCCACTATCCTTCTCTTCATCCTTTCCTCTATCACTCCTCTTTGCTCTCGCTCCAATTCTCTGTAACCCCTTGCATGCTAGTGGCTTCCCGCCTTGCTTGGGGTGAAACACTTAAAAAAAACATTACATTGAAACACCAGTTCTCATACAGTCACTAAAGTTAAGTAACAATGAACTTAGTCAGTACTTAGGTGGGTGACTGCTTGGGAATATCAAGTGCTGTAAGCTTGGATGTGAAAGTGGTGTAATGAATAATGTTTCAGAATTGTTAATCAAGGAGCTGTGTTCCAATTCCAATTGGGTTCGTTATATTCTCTTACGCCCTTGGGAAAGGTATGATCTCACCTCTTCCTTCCCCCAGCAATGGGTTAATTAGTAATACTTCTATCATTAAAACCATTATTATCTCCAAAAAATAAAATAAAATTGTGTACAAAATATTTAGATTTCAGCATAGAGGTGTTGATATGCTGCTAAACAAAAATAATCAATCAACCAACCTTGATAAATATATCGAATGAAACTTTGCCTCTTGATAATATATTAAATGAACCCTTACCCCCAGGGCTGATGCAAGAGTTGCATGCCCCCCCCAATCTATGATACACCTCCTGAATCTATGATTTGAAGCTAACACTCTACTACATCTCAATGTTTATAAGTTAGTGTTCATATAAAATACAAATTTTATTTTAACCTAATTACACACAGTAATGGCTCATATGCAATATAGGTGAACAATTCAACTAGAAAAACTGAAAATAAATACAATGTATCTAAATCAGGCATGTCCAAAGTCCAGCCCAGGGGCCAATTATGACCCACAGTCAAATTTCATATGGCCCCCATCCTTTGTCATAGAATGTATCACTTACGGCCCCCGACAGTATTGTCAATCAGAGTATGTAATCAGAGCATGTATTTTGAGGCGATATGAAATTGGTATTAGAGCCCATTCTAAGGTCAACATTAGCTACTTCAACCCACTGGCTTATGATTCTATCACTTAAATCGGGGCCGGTGCAAGTGGCCCCTCATGAATCTATGATAGGGGGGTCCTCACCTCTATTACATCTCAATTTTCATGAGGTAATGTTCATATAAAATACAAATTTTATTCTAACCTAATTATGTACAAGAATGGATCATATGCAATATGGGTGAAGAATTCAACTAGAAAAATTGAAAATAAATACAATTTATCTAAATATAAATTAGAGACATGTCATAAATCCATCTGCAATAAATCAACAACGTTTTGTAGTAATTTTTAACATCAACTAGAGAGTTTTCTTGTTAAAAACTTGAATAATTTGAACACATTCAACATTATGGATAAAAAATAATGAATTTTACATTGGTTTTTTGAGACTTTGTATGAGCAAAGCAAATTCATAGATTAGAACAAAAAAGAGACCCTGGAATGATGTCAAAATCCACCCAAATTTTTCATCCTTTTAATAGTTGTACTCAGATTAATTTGTAATGCGTATAAATGAAAGTAGAAAAAAAACAAAAAAAAACAAAAAAACAAATATTGATAAAATAACAAGTGTCACAAAGCACTGGCCAGGGCCCCTAATCAAGCTTGGATCAACTCCAGTTTTGTAGTATATACCATCCCTGCTAACCCCTTGATAAATGCTTAGAATGATTTATTGATGCTGTTGATTGGCCTGTTCAAATATTTTTGAGCCTGTTGCTAGAAAATTTTGTGGTGTGCTTAATTAATTTAAACACATTTTAATCTATTTAAATCTTTGTTTCATTTCTTTTTAGGTGAAGATTGACAACCATCATGCATTTCAAGATATTGCGAGTGTTGTTGCAGTCACCAAAGCTTATGCGACCACTGAACCTTTCATCGACTGCAAATATGATATCCATGTTCAAAAAATTGGGAACAACTATAAGGCTTTTATGTAAGTTACTAGCAGGGATACTCAGCATTGCTCAGAATCGATAATAGTTTATTATTGACAATTTATTGATATTTTTCAGCCATCTTATGGAAAATAATTTTTTATTCAATCTTTAAAAACTAAACTTCATAGTTTTTTTTTTGTTTTGTTACAAAATAACTAAATTTAGGAAAATACAACACTACCAATACCATGCCCAAGGCGGGGGGGGGGGGACTGAGCCTCCCTATATTTGTTTTTCAAAAAGTCACTTTATTTCTTGATTTAAATACTAACATAAATACTCTGTTAATGTTGTTTTCAAACAAATCAAACTCAGACAAAAGTTCGTTAACCTTTTTTCAAATTATAATTAACAAAAATGTAAATAAACTTAAATTAAGATATATTTAAACATTTAATTTAATCACTTTTTTCAAGCAAACCTATAACAAGCCTTATTTCTTAGAAAAATAATTATTTACTATTTATTTTGGAGGGGAATTTAGATTTTTTAAATAAATAAAGTTTTATTTTTAAACATTAAATTACTATTTTGAAAGAGAGTAGTATCAAGATATATTGAGAATTTAGTTTTGAAAAGCGATTATGTTTGAATTTTCAGTTATATTCATATTTGAAAAGAAAAAAACTTTAGTTAAATAAAAATTAGCAAATACAGACATTACTTATGGTCAACATTAGTTTTGTTGAATATTTGTTTTACGAATTTAACTATATTTTATTTAAATGAAGTTTTAAAAAAATAAAGCTCACCATAGTTTTTTAGCTTTAATAAAAACTTAATTTAAAATTATTTACTTTTTATGTTAGTTGCAAACCAAAAAACAATGAAGTTTATTTTCTAAATGAAAAAATTATTTTTTAGAAGATAGATGAAAAATATTAATAAGTCAATAATGCACACTCACAGACATCTGCCCTTTAGGGTGATACTGAGTCTGTATATTTATTTTATAGCAGGATGGCGGGGGGGGGGCGACACACACACATTCGAATAAATAAATATTAAACTTTTTATCAGATAATTGTATTTAATATTCTTCTTTTGAATTTACTTTTTTGTTTTAATATTCATTTTTTTAAAGTTATGCTTTTATTTACTATAGATGGGAAAAATTCAAGAGAATAGAAATTTTTTAAATACGTACATGAATAGCATTTAGTAGAATAAAATAGTAAAAAATGAATCGTAATCCTAATCTGGAATAAGAATTATTAGTTTGTTTTTACTTTTTACTTTTTTTAGCTAAAAAAGATATACAAGTATAACAATTTTCAATACAAACTGTCTGGCCTTCATAAAAATACATTTCTCTCAAAAGAATATGTATTAAAAAAACAACTTAGACAATTAAATATTTATTCAATGCTAACATTTTTAAAATAGTAAAAATAAAATTTTTCTTTCAGCTGAACTTATACAATTACCCACAATTCTTTGTATCCTGTTAGTGTTGAATGTTGAACTGCTTTTTCTGTCAATTCAATGATTGGATAATTTGTCGCCATGACAGGAAAAAGCAATATTAGAAGTGATAAGAATATAATTGTATTCAAAATTAAAAAAATTAAATAGTTTAAATATTGAAATATTAAAATGTATGATTATGTGCAACAATCTTAATTTTTTAAGTTCTTCACAGCTTACATGGAGTTGAGTGTTTGTTTTTGTTTCATTCCCAGCAATTAGAACCAACAAATTTTAATTTTTTTTTATCCTCCATCTCCCCCATCACAAATTGTAGTTAGTACTGATTCCTTTTTTTTATTTTTATGTTATTTAAATGTTGTTAAGTGTGGCTATTAGAATAAAATTGTCATTCACCCCACCTAGACTCTTTGAATTTAAGCACTTTACTAGATTGGCATCAAGATCTCATCAATTCACAGTTTAGCTGGCTAGATATAGCCATAAGTTCTATGCTAACAGTTTCTTTTCTTGTACTTCTCACTTGTGGAACTCCCTTCTGGCTCTATGCTTTCCAGCCAACTTTAATCTTCAAATATTTAAATGCAATGTCAATCGCTATCTACTGTCCTCCTGATTACTCTTTTCTCTTCCCACTCACTACTAATGTTTCTGTTCCTAATCCTTCCACACCCACTAACCCCTTGTGCCTTAGTGGCTTTACTGCTTTGCATGGGATGATACTAATTAAAAAACAAATTCACTCTCATGAAATAATTCTTTTTTTATTTATTTTAAATGTTGTTAAATTTTAAAATGTTGTTAACTGTGGCTATTAGAATAAAATCATCATTCACTTCACTTCACTGCCATTAAAGAATTCTTTTCTTTTCTTTTCCAGCCGTAAATCTATATCTGGTAACTGGAAAGCCAACACAGGTTCAGCGATGTTGGAACAAATACAAATGAATGAAAAGTAAGTGGTCTTTGAAAAAAAGTTGTACCCCATTCAATTAGCCAGTCAGTCTAGATTTTTAAAATAATAATAAATAAATTAACAGCCATATTTTATAACTGACATTATGATTGAGAAATGAATAACATCATCACGAGTGCGTACTAAATCACTCAGTCTCTGTCTCTCTTTGAAATTTCTTTCTTTTAATTAAAATAAGTCAATATCTTGGTACTTTGGGTGATGGGTTACCAAAAAGATCTCCATAGGGGGTCAATCTTTTGGAACACTTTGAAATGTATTTGTACATTCACTGTGTGCACCCCAAAAATACAAACACAGGTGCACACACAAAAGACACAGACAAACACATGCACACAAAAACATATGCACAAAAACACACGCAGAAACCCAAACACATGCACACACACACACACACACACACACACACACACACACAAAGATACACACCCACAATAGGCACAAAAATTAGTCACATTTTCTGAATAATATGGTACATTTGACTGTGTTTCCAGAATTTCCTCAATTCTCAACTAAGGAAATTTAGTGCAATTTAGAAATATCGACATAAATTATAAAAGAAAATTTCATTAAATGTTTCCATTTTATATTTTCCATTAATTTTCTTTTATGCCATTCTCTTGCATTTTTACTTTTGATAAAAGACATAAATGCAATGTTTAACCTTCTTGCCTGCAAAAAAATGGTCTGTTGAAAGGACAGTTATTCCCTTGAGACCACTGACGATATTCAGTCCCCCCCCACGAGGGTGTCATGTGGCACAAGGCCTTTTTCATGTGGGCATTCCGAGCCCTTGAGACCACTGACACCCATGGTCATGTTTATTTACAAGATTATAAAAAAATGATTTACTTTTTATAAAAATTTATTATTTACCATTTTATAAAGAAATAAAATTGAAAAGAAATCTTTTTGTTCAAAAATTTATAAAAATTACAAACTCATCAAATTACATAAACCAACAACAAAATTTATTATTTATAATATTATAAATAATTACAGAATAAAAAATTTGAATAAACATATGACAAACATAAATTGAAAGTATATTTGGATGTGAGGAAAAGATGAGGCAAGACATTCACACAAAGGAGGAGAGGGAATCCTGAAAATTTTAAATTTAATTTTTTTAATATATGTTTTGGGTATATAGAAAAAAAGGTTTATTTGCATATATGGAAAAAAGGGTTATTTTGGTATATAGAAAAATGGGATATTTTAGGTATGTAGACAAATGGGATATTTGGGTACATAGAGAAAAAAAGGGGGTATTTGGGTATATAGAGAAAAAAGAGAGTATTTGAGTATATAGAAAATAGAGTATTTAGGTATATAGAAAAAAGGTGGTATTTGAGTATATAGAAAAATAGGGTATTTGGGTATATAGAAAAAAGGGGGTATTTGAGTATATAGAAAAAAGGTTTATTTGCATATATGGAAAAAAGGGTTATTTTGGTATATAGAAAAATGGGATATTTTAGGTATCTAGAAAAATGGGATATTTGGGTACATAGAGAAAAAAGGGGGTATTTGAGTATATAGAAAAATAGGGTATTTGGGTATATAGAAAAAAGGGGGTATTTGAGTATATAGAAAAATAGGGTATTTGAGTATATAGAAAAAAGGGGGTATTTGTTATATATATATATATATAGAGAGAGAGAGAGATTGCTTGGGTTTCTATCTCTGTTTTTTTTTTTTCTTAAACACTGAAATTGATAACAATCAAACTAAATTGAGAAATTTCACTAAAGAAAAAAATGTGAAAAAGGGATGCAGGTTCAATTCCTGTCAGAGGCACAATTTTTCTTTAGTTGTACTTCTCAATTTAGGACGATTGTTATTAACTGCAATGTTTAAGAAAATATAAAAACATGATTAGCAACTGACTACTTTATTTAAAATTAAAATTATATGATTATAATTTTTAATTCAAAATTATTTCTAATAATATTAAATTGCATCAAAATATATATTTACACTCATTTTTTATTCTTTTTCAAAAAGACGAATTATTGCATTATGCATGATGTTTATGTAATGCATTCTGTTGAGAAATGGTCTTGTGCCATACATTGCCACAAAGAAATTTCCCAGTACAATGCATTTCCATAGAGAAATTCCCCTCTGCATTGCATTGGCAAAAAAAGTTCCATTGCAACAGTGCTCACATTGTGAAATTACCTTGTGCCATACCTTACCACAAAGAAATGTCCCAGTGCAATGCATTTCGCTAGAGGAAAAAAAATACCTTGAAAAACTTTTTGAAATAAATGAATCACTAATTTCGATTGTAATTTTCCAGGTATAAAATGTGGGTCGATGAGTGCAGTCAACTTTTTGGGGGACTAGATATTGTAGCTGTTGAAGCTCTCCAGGGCAAAGACGGACGCGAGTACATCATTGAGGTAAAACTGATCATTTTTAAATTCAACTTGATTGCTCATTTTTTTTTTTTCAATCATTTCACTCCAAGTAAGGCAATAAAGCTACTAAAATGCAAGGCATTACAGTGAGTGAAAGAGAATGAAAAGACTTTAATGGTGATGACTGAAAAAAGAACTAAAAAGGAACAGGGTTCAAGACGACAGATGTGGATTGACGCATTTAAATTTTTGAAGATTGTAGTTATCAGGGAAGCAAGAAATTGGAAGGGAGCTCAACAGCTGAGATGTGTGAGAAAAACTGTTGGAGTAGAAGTGATGGTTGCATCTAGCTAGTTCAAAATTAAAATGGTGAGACCTAATTGCCAATCTAGTAACACACTTAAATTCATGAAGTTGGGGCACTAGAGAAAGAAGCTCATCAAAGCAGATCCCATGAAAATATTTGTAGAAAAGATAGAGGGAAGCCATGTCATGTTGGTGAGAAAGTCGAGATACCTGGTCAAGATCATTTGCATAACAGACCCTGGCTGATAAAGTGTACAGTTTGCAAGGGGATTTGGGAGATGGATTTCCACTCACAATGCTTCGCTTTTTCACAGATTATCATTTTAGTAGATGGCTTACTAATCCTAATCCAAGTGCAATGGATGCAGTTGAATATTTTCTTTCCTTTTTCTTTAAATTTGCATCTTATTATTCAGCAAGTATAGTAATTAACATTTCTCTTGAATTATTTTCATCCCCACTTTAAAAATTCTCCTTTGAAATGTTTCTTTTTTATTCAATATTGCTGCCACATCTGCTATATATTTAGAGATTCTTGATAAACTCCAAAGAACAATCCTCAATGTTATTGGTCCTGACCTGTCATCCTGGCTTCAGTCACTTTCCCACCACTGTAACGTAGTTTCTCTGTACCTTTTCTATAAATACTTTCATAGTAATTGTTCTGATGAACATTCTGCAATGGTGCCTAGACTTTATGAATTTAAGCATAGTACTAGATTGATGGAAATTTTACTTGCTAGAATCTATCATACATATTTATAAGTCTACCATTCATCCATGCTTAGAATATTGCTGCCACATCTGGTCTGGTGTTTCTGCTATATATTTAGAGATTCTTGATAAAATCTAAAGAAGAATCTGCAATGTTATTGGTACTGACCTGGCATCTCAACTTTAGTCACTTTCCCCACCACCATAATGTAGCTTCCTTGTACCTTTTAAGAATTTAAGCAAACTACTAGATTGGTGGCAAGGCCTCGTCTTTTTACAGTTGAAATGTTTAGATTTAACTAACTTCTATGCTAACAGTCTGTTCATATCTATCTATCTATCTCTACTAGCAGCATGGCCCGGCGTTGCCCATGCTTGATTCAAAAATCATACAACTCATACAGCAATTGCTATCACTTGACTTAAAATATTTTTGCCTTTCCTTGCCTTTAAAGGAGTACCCTTTGCTGTGCTGATGTTGCTACATGCCTTACTTCTTGCCTATCTCACACTGTGAATTTTTTCTAAGCTCTATACTAAACATTAAATCTGTTATGAAAAAAGAACTAAACAAAATGAACACAAAACGATCAGCTTTAAAAAAGGACTCATAATTGAAAAAACTGAATGAAAAAGAATGTTGACAACAAATACTTTTTCACACCCAACCCAGTTCTGTGGAATCAGAATCAACATTGAGTTTAAGCATGCGAATGAGCCAATAAGGAGTAAAGTGCCATGCAGATTTAAATTTTTCCCACTTGTGATGATTGCAGCTATTGATTTTTTTTTGCATGCTAGCATGCTAGTTAACATTCGTGTCAGTCAGCTGTTGGCTCTCATGCTGGCCAATAGAATCTTCCTGCCCATTTGTGGCAGCCAGCTATAGGATCTCAATCTGGCCAGTAGAAAATGGCAGCAAACTACATGAAAACTGCCGTAGAAGCATGAAAAAATTGATTATTTCCACTATCGATGGAAGTTGTGAAATGCAAAGTTGGTCTTAGCCTTCCCACTAACTTGGAGCATGTGCATGTAAATTTTGGTGCCAATCCGTTGAAAATTGCGTCCGTGCATTTGTTACACACATCCTGCCTTTTATAGATAGGGATTTAAGCACACTACTAGATTGGTGGCAAGGTCTAATCATTTTACAGTTAAAATGTTTAGATTTAACTGTAACTTCTATGTTAACAGTCTGTTCATATCTATCTATCTATCCATCATGGTATGTTCATATCTATCTAAATATGTTCATATCTATCTATCTCAGTTTGGTCATGTCTATCTATCTATCCATCACGGTATGTTCATATCTATCTAAATGTATTCATATCTATCTAAATATGTTCATATCTATCTATCTATCCATCACGGTATGTTCATATCTATCTAAATATGTTCATATCTATCTATCTCACTTTGTTCATATCTATCTATCTATCTATCCATCACGGTATGTTCATATCTATCTAAATGTGTTCATATCTATCTATCTCAGTTTGTTCATATCTATCTATCTATCCATCACAGTATGTTCATATCTATCTAAATATGTTCATATCTATCTATCTCAGTCTATTCATTATATATCTATCTACCTATTCATCTCATTCCATTCATATCTATCTAAATCAGCCTGTTCATTATGTATGTATCTATTTATCCATCACATTCTGTTCATATCTATTTCAGTCTGTTCAGTACCTATTTATCTGTCTATCTATCTATCTATCTATCTATCTATCTATCTATTTATTTCAGTCTGTTCATTATCTATCTATCTATCTATTTCAGTCTGTTCATTATCTATCTATCTATCTATCTATCTATCTCAGTCTGTTCATTATCTATCTATCTATTTCAGTCTGTTCATTATCTATCTATCTATCTATCTATCTATCTATCTATCTATCTATCTATTTCAGTCTGTTCATTATCTATCTATCTATCTATCTATCTCAGTCTGTTCATTATCTATCTATCTATCTGTCTATTTCAGTCTGTTCATTATCTATCTATCTATCTATTTCAGTCTGTTCATTATCTATCTATCTATCTATCTATTTCAGTCTGTTCATTATCTATCTATCTATCTATCTATCTATCTATTTCAGTCTGTTCATTATCTATCTATCTATCTATCTATCTATCTATTTCAGTCTGTTCATTATCTATCTATCTATCTATCTATCTATTTCAGTCTGTTCATTATCTATCTATCTATCTATCTATTTATTTCAGTCTGTTCATTATCTATCTATCTATCTATCTATTTATTTATTTCAGTCTGTTCATTATCTATCTATTTCAGTCTGTTTATTATCTATCTATCTATTTATTTCAGTCTGTTCATTATCTATCTATCTATCTATCTATCTATCTATCTATTTATTTATTTCAGTCTGTTCATTATCTATCTATCTATCCTCTGCTAACCATTTCTTTTGCATTTCTTGCTTGTGGCATTCTCTTCTGGCTTCTTGCTTTTGGTCAACTGTGATCTTCAAAAATTTAAATGCAGTGTCAATCATTATCTTTGAAATTCCTGTTCTTTTATTGTTCTCTCTCCTTAATAATGTTTTTTTTTCTCATATTCTCTAACACTTTGCTTGGTCTGAAATGATTAAAAAAATGTTCAATGGTCTTATCTCATTGACCAACGCCAGAGTTTCACATCAAATTGCTTAACATCGTCCCGTATTTGGTAAATCTATTGAATATTTCACCCTGACAAGGAATTTGATATGAAACTCTATACAATGAGATAAGTTTTGCTGTCACAGTCAAATATCAATGTTGACCATTATCTTTTGTTTTCTTAATTTCTGTCTTTTTAATGTTCTTTCTCTTTAATAATTTTTTTCTCATATTCTTTTATGCTCGGTAACCCCCTTGCGTCTTAGTATCTTTCTTGACTTGCTTGGGGTGAAATGATTTTATTTTCTCTTATTTCTATTTCAGGTCAATGATTCTTCTATGGCGTTACTTGGAGAAACTCAAGAGGAAGATCGACGCCTTATAGCAGAAATGGTTTTACAGAAAATGCACGCACACTGTAAAGCAACTGCAATTAGGTATATCAACCTTTTTCACTCGTCAAAATTTTAAATTCTTTAAAATAACTCTCAAATGCACAATTCCTGATTTTCCTTCCATTGTTTTGTCTTTAAACATGTAGAGTACTGGACTGAACACTGCAATGTCTGAGGTTCTCTTTTTATAAAAAAAAAAAAAATACCTTTAAATTATAACCACTTACCATGACAAAAATAATTGCATATCATGGAAATTTTTTTTTGAGAAAAATTTTGACAGCATTAATAATCTTTTTGAGAATGATGGAAATGAATCTAAAAACAAACAAACCTTGGAGCACTTCATTATCACAAAAAAAAAAAATAAGTCTGGAGAATTGCTTAAGAACCTGTTTCTGTAAAAATGGTATGATCATGTATGGTCTCGAGAAATTTTGGATTTCTGCCCAAAGAGTTATGCCTCAGCTGCTGATGGTGCTGCAGTATTTGTGATGGCTGTACAGGCTCACACAAGAGTGATAGTTTCGATTGCAATGAATTCATGTGAAGATGCTCTACTCTGATGTCATGTTGTTTTCTTTCTGTCAAGTATGCTTCTCCCCAGTGGCAAGCCTTTGTTTCTCCTTTCCTTACTCCAACCCTCAGTGTAAATTGTGTCTCCAGCATAAGTGATCATTGGCAACATCTTCCCATCTCTTGATGACCTTGTACATCACCCTCATGTCCTTTTTGCAGACATCCTTTAAGCAAAGATGAGGCCACCCTCTTGCTGGTGGCCAGTTCCTTGGACAGAAGGATCTTTGGAATCCTCCCATCTGGCATACCAGGTACATGTCCAGGCATTGTTGGAGAAGTGTATATAGGCTGAGTAACTGGGTATGGGTGAGAACTACAGCATTGGTGACCTGGTTGAACCAATTGATGCCCAGAATGCATCTCAGATAGCGAAGATGAACTGTGCCGAGGAGTAGAGGCTCTAAGTTTTGCAGCCATAGAGCAGCATGCTGATGACACATGCTCTTCAGACTGCAATTTTGGTGTTCATAATAAGTCATAGTATGATCAATAAAGAAAATGGTTTGTAAAATGATCACACAAAGGTCAGAGTGTACAACACCTGAAACATTATGAATATGGCAATGAAGATGAGGATAACAGTCCGAATAATGTAAATAATGTAAGTGATCATAATACCTCATCTCAGAGATATAGACAGATAAAATATATTTTTATACTTTCATAGTGTTTTGAACCCAGTTTGAGTGTTCACTATTTGCCCATAGCTAGGACCCTAACAGGTGCTACCACCCTGGGTCAGGGTGGACCTGGTAACAACAGCAATTAAGAGGTGGTCCCACATTCCTCAAAACTTCATTGCTGCCGGATATAGTTTATTGTCAAAACCAGGACATTGACTTCTTGAAAATGTAGTTCAACTTCTTCACAGTTGAACTGTAGATCACTTCTATTAGTGTAGAAGATGGAGAACCTGGGAGTCTATTTTTTGAAAGGATGATCGGAGTTGAACTCTACTGCATGCCGATACAGCTTTGACCATTATTATCAATAAGCAAAGTCGTAATTGTACATTTCATCATTTGATAAAGAGCCCCCCACTAAAATGTACAGTATGTCCAATTCACAAAATGGCAATACAGTAGGCCTGATATTATGCAGCTGTTTGTAAGGTTCAGATCCCTGGTTATAAGGCGGAAAATGCCATATAAAACCTTTAACTCCATCCCCTTGAAGAAGAAATATATAATCCAGAACAATGTTAGATTTTATAACAACAATACCAATAAATATTTCCAAATGGTTCTTAATGTTGTCAAAATTTACTTTTTTTAAAAACAAACCTTCATAATATGGTGTATAAAGCAAAGATTGATCAAATCATTTGAATGTTAGATAAAGTAGTGTTAGATATTTCTTTTCTGCTTGAAATGGACTAGTCTATTTATGATTTAAGTTGGTATGGATGAAGCTTCTAGAATTGTTTGAACTGATCTTCAGAACTGAATATCATCTTTGATTTTTGATTCATCTTTTATTCTTTAGAGTTACTTATATATTATGCAGCAGTGTTGTCTGTCAAACTCAAAGAAAATGGCTTATTTCATTTTTATTTGATATATTACAGCATATCTTTTTGCATTCATTAATTTTTTTCCTTGGATTAATATCCTTGTCTCTTTTTAACAGAGTATTTTTGTTTGTCAATTTGTAATAATTTATTCAGCTTGCTTTGACAGTTAAAATATTTCATTTCAATAAATTATTTACAATAATCTCTCTCTCTCTCTCTCTCTCTCTCTCTCTCTCTTATATATATATATGCACACAGACATGGTGCAGCAAAAGTAACAAAGAGAGGTAATCATACAAAGAATTAATCAGTGAAGTTAATGTAATTAATGGCGAAATCTCTTCACTAACAAATTTAATAAAGCATTAACCTGCTAACCATTCATTGAATGACGCAATCCTTATGTTTAAAATTGTAAGATGTATTTGATGTTCCGGTGCTAGTACTTTCGAAAATTTTCACATTTTCATCATCAGGCTTTAATATTTTTTCCATTTCCGGTAAACTCCAAGACAAAATAAATGTATTGTAGACTGAAAGATGTTTTTTAACAATGTGTTATTTATTAACGGTTATATAATTTTGGAATGTGCAGTGTTGCAATGCTAGAGTTGTATTTGGGATGTTTCAAGTGAGAAATGTGAAAATATTTGAAAGAAATAGCACTGGAACATCAAACCAATCTTACAGTTTTAAACATAAGGATTGCATCATTCAATACATAGTTAGTAGGTTAATGCTTCATTAAATTTGTTAGTGAAGAGATTTCGCAATTACATTAACTTTACTGATTAATTCTTTGTATGAATATATATAATATATATACTGCACTATTTTATATATATATATATATATATATATATATATATTTATTTATTTATTTATATATATATATATATATATATATATATATATATATATATATATATATATATATATATTTATTTATCGCTAAAGCGTGAAACCCAGGGTCACAAACTCACATCTATCCAAACAAATATATATATATATATATATATATATATATATATATATATAAGGTATACTTAGATAGTAAGTATTCATCCAAACATGTTTGATTAAAAAGAACCAACAAAGTCTTTTTTTTAAATTTTTTATTGGATTTTTTCAATTTTTGAATAAGGTGTTGTGTATTGTAATTTTGAACTTTGGACAGTTTATCTGAACCACAATTTTGATCACAGTACCTTATTTGAAAATTGGAAAAATGCAATAAAAAATTAAACAGACTTTGTTGCTTCTTTTTAATCAAACTTGCTTGGACACACTGTTTTTTGCTTTCTATGTTCACTTTTATATTTACACACGCTTTATCCCATAAATATAGCACACCTTAAGACTATATTTCTTCATATATATATATATATATATATATATATATATATATATATATATCAGAAATGCCTAAAGGAGAATTTGCTGCCTAAATACACAAAGATATATATATATATATATATATATATATATATATATAAAGAAACAGTTTATACAAAGAATTAAATAGCAATGTTAATGATGTTAATGTGATTAATGACAAAATCACTTCACTAACAGAACTTAATGAGAAATTAACTTACTATCAATTATTTGAATAATAAGATCCTTATATTTGAGTAATATGACAATTTGAAATTGTCGAACGTACTTGGCATGTCTTCCAGTCTTCCCTCTGATAACAACTTGTAATATTTCTAATATTTTACATATATATGTATATAAAATATCAGAAACCCTGACCTTTTCGCAACTATGGTTTCTGCTGAGATGGATTCGCCAAGCAACAAGACAAAGCCACCTCATCAGAAACCATGATTGCAAAAAGGTCAGTGTTTCTGATACATTAATTCTGATATCAATTTACCTTACATTTTCATCCTTTTAATTTGGCCAGCCTTTTGGCAAATATCATTTTTGCCATAAATGATTTAAATGGCGAGAATACATGTATTCTCGCCATTTAAATCATTAACCTCTATATTTGTTTTTTGTATGAATGATTCATGTAATTATAAATTGAACTGCACCTATAATCAAAATATATATATATATATATATATATATATATATATATATGTATATGTATTCTCGCCATTTAAATCAATAACCTCTCTATTTTTTTTATGAATGATTCATGTATTATATATATATATATATATATATATATATATATATATATATATATATATATATATATATACATATAAATATAGATAACTAGACTCGTTTCGAAACTTTTCACCAAACTTTCCTGACGATCCGTTTAGGTGAAACCTAGGTAGGTTTGTCTGGC